AAAAAAAAAAAACAAATGGAAAACTTGATGCTTACCGATTTTCCCAACCAAAAATGGCGGTCAATGCTTGAAAACTGGCCTGTAAACCCTTCAATGCAGAAGCACTTGAAAGATCCAACTAGTTTTTCGCAGGTGGCACCGTTTAAGCAAGGACTAGAACTGCAGTAGTCTATTTGTTCTTCGCAATGAACTCCCGTAAACCCGTGAATACAGTCACAAACGTATTCCGTCGTATTCAGCTGAATGCAGGTTCCGTGATCACCGCAGGGCCTCGAAACACAAGACCCGACTATTTCACAGTTATTACCTGAGACGGAATTATCAAAAAAAAAAGAATTCATCTTCAACAGTGAGTAATGCAACTACAGACGGTATATTTTTAGGGGGGTACAAACCCGTTCTTTTAAAATGTATCACTGACTCACTCAAGACTTGACCAAAGTGAGAACTAGCACAAACCATAAAAGTACTGAGGACAGGAACAACGATAACCGCCTTCTGTATTTTCGCACTTTCCCTCATTTTCGCAAGGAAATTCGACGCATTCGTCTTCATCAATATTACATTTTGAGCCCTTCCATCCTTTCTCGCAATCGCATAAGTATCCCTTCCATATGCTATTACAAGAACCATGAACACAGGGCGAATTCTGACATTCATCAGAAAGTTTTTCGCAGAACAATCCTGAAATTAGAGCCGATAAAGAAGCCGATATAAAAGAAAATCTTTTACACAATACACAGTCAATAAAACTAGTTCTTACAAGTGCTGTAGCTCAGAAAAAAGAAATTTCTTATCAGAAACTCTTGTTATACTATTGTTATACTAATGAAATGAAAAAAGCGCCTCTTTTATAACTATGTTCTACCTTCGTAGCCATCGGCACACTCGCAGGTAGGACCAGATTTATGAGAAATGCATTTCCCTCCATTTTTGCAAGGATTTTTCAAACAAAAATTGGTCTTCACATCGCATAATCTTCCTTCAAAACCTTCTGGACATTCACAGATGAACGATTTCTGTAAAAGGGACGCCACACCACTAAGTACATATTTTTGACATTAGTGACTAATTACAACTACTGATTATTAAAGCAGATCAGGAATATTTAGTAATAAGAAGTTTAAAAATTGCGGACAGAGGAAACAAGAAAATATAATAGATATCGCACTCAAACCTCCTTATTATGACAAACAGCATCGTTTCGGCAAGGTCGAGAGGAACACTCTGTGAGCTCCTGAAAAACAACTCTTTATTTATACAAATTACCTAATAGATGTTAAAATGACACTTCTGGTTGCCAATGTTCCTCTCATTTATTTGTTTTATTAATTATTCTGTTTTCAATTACCGATGTTTGGCACCTGGAGCCTACAAATGGTGAAGGACACTCGCAGAAAAATGTTCCATTGCGAGAAACGCATTTACCGTTGCTCATACAAGGAGATGGATCGCAGTAGTCAATAGACCGGTCACAGTAAGGTCCAGAATAACCTGGATAACATTGGCAACTGAAAATCAAAAGTTATGTAATTAACTAATCGAAATTTATCAGCAACTCTGCAAAAGTAAATTGCGACTCCTTCTACAGGGTGCGTAAAAGAGTGAAAATTTTATTATTTAGTGGGCGAAGAAAAGTCGATTAAAAAAAGCTGGTTCTGGTATTGTTATAATTTACCAAAGCTTGCCTGTACTTGCCGACGCCATCTACACAGTCGCCATGAACGCACCTGTGGTTCTTACACTCGTTGATGTTTTCCTAAGACAAAGAATAACCAATAAAGTCATGCATAAAATAATTTTACGTCCCTTTATCAATTGAAAATGCCCTACTCTTGAATAAGCATTATTTTGAAGGTGATGAAGAATTTTTCTAACCAACCTGACAGAGCGATCCAGTAAATCCAGGCCTACAGTTACACACCCTCAAATTCCAAAGATCACGACAAACAGCAGCATTTTTGCATGGATTATAATCACCACATAAAGGTTCAGAATGACAGCCATCGTCCCTTATATTCATTTTTCTTTCAAGAATAAAATGAGTAACATTCTTCAAAATATTTCCTGCTTTATCAAAAGGCAGGAAAGATATGGGAGGAGTTGGACCAATCGTAATTTCT